CTCAAGTTTGAACCCAGTCTTTTCTCCTCTCTCCATGTTTTAGAAATATGTTATTATATATTACATTGTTTTATTTTGTGAGTTCTTTGACTCATTTTTTATAGAAATATTCATTTTTACTGCTTTTGTGTTTCCTACTTTTATACTGTCACTTTTGGTTTCCTTTCCACTCAAAGAATCCCCTTTAATATTTTTTTTTGGGCTGATTTAGTGGTCACAAGCTCCTTTAGTTTTTGTTTGGGAAACTCTTTATCTCTCTTTCTATTCTGAATGATAGCCTTTTGGATAGAGTATTTTTTGCCACAGACTTTCCCCATTCAGCACTTTGAATATATCATGCCACTCCCTTTCAGCCTTCAAAGTTTTTCTTCAAAAATGTCCTGCAACCTTATGGATTTTCCCTTGTAAGTTACTGTCATCTTCTTCTTCTTCTTCTTTTGTTGTTGTTGCTTTAATTTTTTTTCTTTATCACTATATTTTGCTATTTAATTACAGTATGTCTTGGTTGGGTCTGCTTTTGTTGATTTTGATTGGAGTTCTCTGTGCCTCCTGGATCTGCATAACTGTTTCCTTCCCCAGATTAGGGAATTTTTCAGTTATTATTTCTTTTTTTTAAGATTTTATTTATTTATTTGACAGAGAGAGACGCAGCGAGAGAGGAAACACAAGCAGGGGGAGTGGGGGAGGGAGAAGCAGGCCTCCCACAGAGCAGGGAGCCCGATGTGGGGCTCGATCCCAGGACCCTGGGATCATGACGTGAGCCGAAGGCAGATGCTTTCAGTTACTATTTCTTTTCTGTTCTGTTCTTTTTTCTTTTCTTTTTTCCCCTTTCTTTCTTTCTTAAAGATTATTTACTTATTGAGAGAGAGTGAGTGAGAGATCATGAGCAGGAGGAGGGATGGAGGGAGAGGGAGACGTAGACTCCCCACTGAGCAGGGAGCCTGATATGGGGCTCAATCCCAGGATCCTGGGATCATGATCCAAGCCAGAGGCAGATGCTTTACCAACTGAGCCACCGAGGTGCGTCAAGTTATTATTTTTTCAAATAAATTCTCTGTCCCCTTTCTCTCTCTTCTTCTTCTGGGACTCCTGTGACACAAATGTCATTACATATGTTGGAGTCACTGAGTTCCCTAAGTTTATTCCCAGTTTGCATAATTCTTTTTTCTCTCTTTTTTTCAAATTGGTTACTTCCCTTTACTCTGTCTTCTAGGTCACTAATTTGTTCTTTTATTTCTTCCATTCTGCTGTTCATTCCATCAAATGTGTTTCTCATTTCATTTATTGAGGTCTTTATCTCTGCTGTTATTCCTTATCTCTGTCTTAAGGGTCTCACTCATGTCTTCCACTCTTTTCTCAAGTCCAGTGAGTATCCGTATGATCATTGCTTTAAAATCTCTATTAGGCATGTTACTTATATCTGTTTTGCTTAGATCTCTGGCCATGGCTTTGTCCTGTCCTTTCATTTGGGATAAATTTCTCTGTCTCCTCATTTTGTCTGCCCCTCTGTGTCTGTTTCTATGTGTTAAGGAAGTCAGCTATGTCTTATACTCTTGAAAGTAGTGACTTTATGAAGAAGAGGTCTTGGAGTACCCTACAGTGCAGTGTCGCCTGTTCACCAGAACCTGGCACTCCAGGAGAGTATCCTCTGTGTGTTGCTATTTGTGTAGCCTGCTGTTGTGTCTGAGTCTCTTTTCTTTCAGCGTAGTTGTCTGCACCGACTCTCTGCGTGTTGTGGGCTGTGTTTGCTCTCTGTGGTGTTAGTGGGTCCCAGGCAGGGTAGAGTGCCTGCCGGGGAACTTGAGAGCAGGAGGTGGTATTAGCAAAATTTGCGCTTGGTCACTAGTCCTCTGCTGGATTCCCCAAAGTGCTGTGGTAGCTGGGGGCTGCAACCTGGGGCTGCTGGGCGCACGAGGCTGGGTGCAGCATGCATCAGTGGCTGGGTGCAGTGTGTGGAGGGAGGCAGCTGTGCACCTGGTGGCCGGGAGCAGCGCACTGCAGTGGCTGGGCGCTGTGCCTTTTTGTTGTATTTTATTTGTTGTTTCATTTTCCTATTGCTGGTATGACAAATCACTGCAAATTTAGTGGCTTAAAACAATGTGAATTTATTATACTTCTAGAGGTCAGAAATCTGAAACAGTCCACTGTGTTAAAATTACTGTGGCAGCAGACCTGTCTTCATTCTGGAGGCTGGGGAAGAGAATCCGTTTCTTTGTCCTTTCCTGTTTCTAGATCCCATCTACATTCCTTATCTCGTGGCTGCATCCTCCATTTTTGAAGCTCCTTGGCTTAACTGCTGCTTTTGTCCTTAAATGGCTCTCCAACCCTGATCTTTTTGTTTCTCTCTTGTAAGGACTGTGGTCGCCACATTAGGCTCATCTAGATAATCCTGGATAATCTCTCTGTCTTAATCACATTGTGAAGTCCTTCTGCTATGTAAGGTAACATGGTCACAGATGGATATGGACATTTGTGGGGGGCACATTTTCAGCCTACCATACTTGTTCTTGCAGATACATCAAAAACCACTAGTTTTTCTATGTTCTTGTATTTGGGTATGCTTTGCTGAAGTCCCATTATTTGTATTTGTTTTAACATTGCTTTCAAACTATTTCATATTTGTTTTTCATTGGATTCTGTTAGAGTTACTGGCAGTGGTAACATTTGTTCCCTTTCTTCCTGGATTTATAGCTCTTTTGTTCTCACCTCTTTCCATGTTGTCTAGAATCTTCTAGCTAATGCTAAATAATAGTTATGAGAACATGCATCCTTGTATTGTTCTCAACTTTACTAGAAATTGCCTCATTGTTTTACTACCCAGGGTGGTAGTTTCTGATAAACACTCTTTTAAGTTAAGACGTTTCTATCAAATTAAATCCTAGTTGACTAAGGTTTTTAGTCAGGAATGTATATTAAATGTATTAACCATTATGGTTGTAAGAGTAACCATATGGCTTTTCCCTTTTAATCTATTAATAGCTTTTCCAATAATGATCATCTCTGTATTCCTGGAATAAATCTTCCTTGGTCACAGTGTATTGTTCTTTGAATGTACTGCTGACTTCTATTTGCTAATATTTTATTTTTGCATTTATATTAATGAGTGAGTTTGGCACAGTGTGTTTAGTAATTGTGCTATCCTTGCACAGTTTTTGCATTGTTGTGGGTTATCTAGTCATCTTGAATAAATTGGAAAACTTTCCACCTTTTTGTATGGTCTGGAACTGTTTATTTAATTATTAACTAATTAATTAATTTTCCACCATCCCGCCCCTGGAACTATTTAAATAGTATTGAGGTTTCTTGTTTTTGTTTTCTTTTAAAGATTTTATTTATTTGAGAGAGCGTGTGTGAGAGGGAGAGCATGGGCAGGGGGAGGGGCAGAGAGAGAGGGAAAAGCAGACTCCCCGCTGAGCAGGGATCCTGACATGGGACTCCATCCCAGGACCCCAGGATCATGACCTGAGATGAAGGTAGATACTTAACTGACTGAGCCACTCAGGCACCCTGAGGTTATTGGTTTGGAAAGTTTTATAAACATAAGGTTCCTTGGACCACTGCTACTTACCTCGAAAACCTTCTATACCCAATGGTGAGATTGCGTTATTCTGAATCACATGTACTTTCTTATCTACTCTGTCTTATAGCATTTGAAGTACAGCTTGTGACTTGTAGAACAGGTTTCCTTTGGGCAAAGCTGCCCAATCCATAAAGAAGGGTCATGTCTACCAACATGGCTTCATTCATAGAAACCTGTCAGGCCAAGGGCTTACACAATAAAGGCTTGGCTCCCATGAGACTTCTTTTTCCATGTGCTTTGGGAGTTGTCTTTATCATTTATTAATTATTGCAGTGTTGCTATGAAACTTTTTTTTAAAAGACTTATTTATTTATTTTAGAGAGAGAGAGAGAGAGAGAAAACTTGAGTAGGGGGAGGGGCAGAGGGAGAGAATCTCCAGCAGACTCCCCACTGAGTGGGGAGCCCAATGCAGGGCTCCATCTCAGGACCCTGAGATCATGACCTGAGCTGAAACCAAGAGTCGGATGCTCAACTCACTGAGCCACCCAGGTACCCCTGCTGTGAAACTTCTTAGCAAATCTTTTTCAGTTCTTCAAAGAGCACTTCTCAATTCTCTGCTAAAGTGTTGCTCTCAGCTCAGAATTTGAAATTGATACTTATTTATATAAATGAGGTTGTCCAAGGCTGAGTTGCAGTTTTAGGTTAGTAAACCAGGGGAGTTTGCAGTGACTGGATTTAAGTAATTTTTAAGAGGGGTCCTCTGATTAGGTACATTTTGATTTTAAATCTTTTATCAGGACTGCATTTACATAAATATAAAAGTGCTGCTACCACTAATTTCTAAATCAAAATACTGCTGAAATGGGGCACCTGGGTGGCTCAGTTGTTAAGCGTCTGCCTTCGGCTCAGGTCATGATCCCAGGGTCCTGGGATCGAGCCCTGCATCAGGCTCCCTGCTCGGCGGGAAGCCTGCTTCTCCCCCTCTCACTCCCCCTGCTTGTGTTCCCTCTCTCGCTGTGTCTCTCTCTGTCAAATAAACAAATAAAATCTTAAAAAAAAAATACTGCTGAAATCATCCCATGTATATGATTTGATTAAAAGGTAGTATTTTTGGGGGGTGCCTGGGTGGCATAGTTGGTTAAGCATCCAACTCTTGGTTTTGGCTCAGGTTTTGATCTCAGGGTCGTGGGATTGAGCCCCTCTTCAGGCTCCATGCTCAGGGTGGAGTCTGCTTGAAAGACTCTCTTGCCCTCCTCTCTCTGCCCCTCCCCCAACATACGAGTGCTCTCTTTCTCTCTCAAATAAATAAGTCTTTAAAAAAAAAAGGTAGTAATTTTTAAAAGATTTTATTTTTTAAGTAATCCCTACACCCAACATGGGATTCTGACTCACAACCCCAAGATCAAGAGTTCCATGCTGTATGAAAGGTAGTATGTTTGTATCAAGTGTAAGTTGATTTCTCATTCTTTCCCCCCTGCAGTAAAACAGATCATCGGTAACATTTCAATATTTAATGAAACCTGCTTGAGATGGAGAAGTACAAAGACAGCTGATATAGAGGAGATGTATTCAGTAAGTTACCGAACTCTATGTATAGATGTTGTCTAGTGTGGGAAATTTAAAAAAATATCAGCAAACCTAAAAATCTACTTATGTAGCTGTTATTATCAGTGGCAGATTTATAGTAAGAATTGCAAGAAAAAGCAAGAAAATGGGCACTTCTACTACGTATTTGAAGAGAGACCTTGGGGATTGCTGAGTAAGCCATGTGAGTTACTTTGTGCACATAGCCTGATGCAGAGCTGATGTCCACATCCGTGGAAGGAACCTGTGGCTTTTGCTTGTGTGTGTCTCTTCAGGCCAGTGTCTTTGACCAGGGTCTGGACGTGTCTGGAGAGTAAGGGGGAACTTTCGAAGCTATTGTGGTTGTGAGTAAGAAAGGTAAAGACCATGGGATGAGAGCTGCTACTAGAAGAAATTAAGTGGGCAGAGAAGTATGTCTCTTGGGCCAGGTGCTGGGATGTTACCCGAAAGTGTGGAGAATGTCAGAAGGGGGCAGGCACATCTATGTAGATAATATGCATTTTAACTTTTAAAAAAAATATGCATTGCTTTATATGAAGCATTAAATGCTGCTTCATCTATAAATAGCTCCTATTTTGATTCAGTTTGGTGCCACATTAAACTGTTGAAAGTTGCTCCATGATCCTGAAGACACTGTGGCTTGCCTAGGTCCAGGGTCATCCAGTTAAACCTCAAGTGTTGTAAAATGAATAGCAAGATTGGAAGGTGTATGGCCGTCACATTGCAAATACTGTGTTCACAAAATAAAAAATGCGTTGTTAAAAAAAAAAAAAAAAAAAAGAAGGGGGCAGGCCGAGGAGAAAAGCCCTGCTGAGCTTTAACCAGGCCAGCTAGGAGTATCATCACTCAGGTCCTGCTTTGGGGAAGCCTTAGTTCAGATTCCTCATTTTCTTTGTAGAAAATGTTCTGTGGCTTTGCCCCCGCCCACAGACGTTTCGGTGTTGTGCGTCAGAGATGCGAGAACAAGAACGAGAACGTTGTTAGCACTGGGACTTTGGCCTTTTGTACATTTTGATTTAAAAATATTTTTATTGTACTGATACATTGTAACGACGGTGCTTAGGGTATGACGACTCTGAGATTTGCTTACCATTCTGTTTCACTTTTTTTTTTTTTAAAGATTTTTATTTATTCATTGAGAGAGAGAGAGAATGGTAGAGAGAGAGCACAAGAGGGAAGAAGGTCAGAGGGAGAAGCAGACTCCCTGCTGAGCAGGGAGCCTGATGTGGGACTCGATCCCAGGACTCCAGGATCATGACCTGAGCCGAAGGCAGTCGCCCAACCAACTAAGCCACCCAGGCGCCCCTCTGTTTCACTTTTTGAAGGAACTTTAGAGTCGAGGACAAGATGGCTCGTGAGAGAGGGCAAGTATCCAGGCATTTGGAGCCTTCCTCAAGCTAGCTGTTCACTTAGTGAATTTTCTGTTTCAGTTCCACATTCGGGGCCAGAGATGGTATCAGAAGGAATTTGCCCAGGAGATGATCTTTAATATCACTGCCAGGAGCCAGGCCCCTGAGATGTGCTTGGACCTGCGTCCGGGTACCAACTACAGTGTCAGCGTCCACGCTTTGTCTTCTCAGCTTCCCGTGGTCCTCTCCCTGACAACGCAGATTACAGGTAAGTCTTGAATGGCAGCATTTGAAGGAACGAGGTCACCACAGAGCTGTAGGTGGGCCCCGATGAAGAGGAACACCACTGCTTCCTGTTGTTGTACAGTGAACCTGAAGAGTGAGGATGCAAGGGTCCTGTGGTTGTGCCTGTCATGTTTTCTTTCTTAGAAAGATAGTCGAGACAAAGTAGTAACACGAATCAAATCCTGGCTAACGTGTACATGAGTGCTGGGTACATTCCTTCGGGATATTTGGAATATTTAACATATTTCATACCTAAAAGGCTCTCATTACTGTTTCTCAGGTACGTGTGATTGTCTTTTTGTCACAAACGCCTCAAGAGTCGGTTATTCTCAGGGAAAAGTGATTGGCAGTCCCACTTTGGTCCCCTAGCAAATTCATTTTCCACTCATTTTCTCTTGTCTTCTCAAATCTGGGATGCTCCCCTCTCCTCCTCCCCCTCCCCCACTCTGAGCTAATACTCAGAGTATTAGCTTCTTGTTTCTGACTTCACTGAGCAATTAGAAGTAATCAGGTGAGGACTTGCCTCTCCCAAGTCTCCCCTTGCTACCCGCATGCAGAACCATGTATTCTGTCTTCTCTCCTGTCCCCACTCCTCAGGTGACTGCCACCCTCAGGTACGTTGGACCCCATCCTTTCCTGCCTAATCATCATGTCCCCCCAACAGAGAAATAGTCCCAACACGGCATGAGCATGTCGTAGTATATCCTTTTTTAAAATGAAAACAAAGAAACAAGAAACACACTTCCTTTGATCCCATATTCCCTCCGGCTACTTCTTTCAGCATCCCCTTTACAGTGAAACTCCTTAAAAGTAGTGTCTGTTATGTAGGCTCTATGTCCTTATTTCCTGTTCTCCCTTTAACTGGTTCCAATCCGAAGGCAGTTGTGCTGTCCACACTGCTTTACTGCTTTACTGTAGTGTATTCATCTTACAAAATCCACTGGGCAGTTTTGTTTGTATCTGATTCCCTCCCCACCCACAGCAGCTGACATCCCCTCCTTCTTGAAACGCCATTTCGCTTGGCTTTTGGGTCCTCTTGCCTTGCTGGCTCCTCCTCCTCAGTCTTCCGTGCTGGCTCCTCCTCCTTCTTAGTCTTCCTTGCTGGCTCCTCCTCCTCAGTCTTCCGTGCTGGCT